GTTTTAAAATCTTTATGGATGCTACAGTGATAAAGCAGAGCTGATGTTCTGCCTTATATGAGTTAGATATGGAACAATATATAGCAAACAGTGGATGATTAGTAGCTTTATGTCCTTGGATGACTTAATCTTTTAGATCATCTTCTCTAAGGTGTCCTTAACTGGGAATGCGAAGATCATTACCTAAACTTAATAGCATCTGGATACACCTTTCTGAATCATTGTTTCAGAAGGGTCACTTACTTGATGCTATAGTAAAAAGCCAAGCTGATAACTTTTGTCTTTGTCAATAGCAATTCAAAGAAATTGGTATGTTATGAATAGGTTGCCACTATCTCTGCAAATGGTGGTGAACGTGAGATTGGAGAATTGATAGCAAGAGCAATAGAAAAAGTTGGAAAGGAAGGAGTGATTACTGTTGCTATAAGAACTTTTATTCCTTTAACTATATTATGCCATTGAACTTTTACAAATAGGTCAAGCTTATGCATTAATATGCAAATAGTATAGGATGGAAATACTTTGGATAACGGAAGGAATGAAGCTTGGAAGAGTCTATATATCTCCATATTTTATTACTGATCAAAAGACAGAGAAATGTGTGAGTTTCAGATCTTTGACATTCTAAATGACGATTTTTTACTTTGATCAAAGGATTTCTCGCTGTATTGTGGTAAAATGAGGTTTCCATTATAAGTATGTGTTGATAATTTCTTGTTAAATTGTTCCTTTTCTTTTCAAGTTTATAAGATTGCTACTTCTACCCTTGGTTTCGTTTGAGGTTTTACTAGTTATGACTCCAACATGAAGAATTTTACTGGTTTGTTTAATATACAGGGGTGACTATTGTTTTATCTGCTGTAATATTTCTCATAAAAGGTTGAGGGTCCTCTTACTCTTTACCCAGGAATTTGCAGCCAATTCAAGTAACAATTCTGCTTATCATCAAAATATACAATAAATTATTATATAATATAATTCACACTAATATTGCACTCTTCAATTTCCTTGTCGTATTTGTGATAAACAGTCTATTCCATAAAAAAAAATATTAACTATTATAGTTTTGACGATTTGGTAAGGTAGATGATTGATTTAATTAGGTGTTTGATGAAAAAAGTGGTTGTTGGTTTTAAGTAATGATTAAGAATATCGTTGAGAAAGAGCTTGAAGGGACCCAATCACAATTCACTTAAAATCAATTCAACTAGAAAAGAATTGGCCAAGCTATAGTAGGAGGTTCTTTGCTCAAATAATGGTAGTTTTTTAAGAATTAATCACTTATTATCTATTAGCTACATATAAAAAACTGATTATGAGAATTATATTTGCTCAAAAATTAATTTTTAAATAAGGTTGACTAAATTGTTCTTCGTAAGTGTTTTACATTGATGTAAAATATTGTATAAGAAAATAAAATGAATTTCATAATTGAATAATTAATTCATACATATAAAAAAATAGAGCTATCATATTTACCAACAGCCTCTTATAAATTATTAAAAAATATTTTTTTTTTGAAACCATAGGAATTAGGATAGATCAATAAAATTGTAAAACAATAAGAAATACTGGACGGTTATGAGTTTGGGCTTTTATATAATTGAAGAGCATATATGATCTAAAGATCCACACGCAATACCTCATAATAGAAAAAAAAATTAGGATATTGGGTCGTTATGAGTTTGGGCTTGTCTATAAATGAATTAGTGATGAAAAAGTCTCGCTCTTCACTCATTTTAAATCCTCTCTCTCTCTCTCTCGAACTAAAGAGCCGTTGGAATGAAAGAAATACAGACATGGCAACTAATATCGGCATGATGTATTCGGCTTCACTCTTGGATAAACTCTCCAAAGTCGAAGAGGTTTTTCTTCTTTATTTTATCTTCAATTTATAACCCTAATTTCTTTTCTATTGTTTTCTGTTATTGAGAAAAATTTGTTTGGATCTTTGAATTGAAATTGTAGGCATGTTTTGGTGCGGTTCTTTGCCAACTGATGCATGTGGTTCATCCAGGGATGGTCCCATGCACAAAGTCAACTTTGATGCCAGGAACGAGTACGTGATTAATTTAGACTACAAGGTCCTTCAAGATCACCAAGGTTTAGTTTAATTCTCGTTCTTGGGCCTTTCATGGGAGAGAGATACTTCTGCTTTTTGTGGGCTTCAATGACAAAGCATTTAATGGAGGTTCCTTTTTCCTTGATCAATGGGATTGGGGTGCTGTTGTTTCTTAAATTTTATGAAATACAAATTTGTGTTGTGGACTACTGGTACACCTTTCTGTGATTTAATCTTTCTTTAATAACATTTTCATGTTTATAAAATAATTAAAAAAAAAAAAGAGGTCCTGGAAGAAACTAAAAGGTGAATTTTGTCTTTAAAATCTACCCCTCATGTACCTATATTTTCTTGCCTGAGTCAGGTGTATCAGGTTATATGTTCTCTGCTAAATGTGGGTTTTACTAACATGTTTTCCCTGTCTCTCTGATAAAATATTTCGCAAAATCTGGCAAAAAGAGGGGGAGGAACCATAGATAGAAGCCAGGATATTGCTCGTTTAGCAGAGTTCTACAAGCTGTATAGAGCACAGAACAATGTAGATCAGATATGTCAAGAAGAAATGGAGATGAGAGAGTTGGGAGCTTTCCCTTGAAATCTTGGCGAGTAAGTATCTTTAGTAGGGGATAAAAGATATTGATCCTTTGAGTTTTACATTTATTCATTTTGTTCTTTTGGATAAGTAAGAACTGCATAAATGCCAACAAAGAAAAAAGAGGAACAAGTTGGGGAGCATTTTATTTTCCTTTATACATTGCTATCCTTATGTTTCTTGTACTGTATTGTCTTCTCTGCTCTAACACACACTCTCTCTCTCTATTCAGTACATTTGTTTATCATTTGATTGTGTTGTGTGTGTGAGTTAAGCTTTGGCATCTGGAAAATTTGATTGTGGCATCTATTGCCCAAGATATTGTTCTTTAAAATATGCCATGAGTTTTGTTTTGTTTTTAATATCCGTTGTGGTTTTCCTAGAATTTGTACCAGGAATGTTTGGAATGACTCCACCACCACGAAGTCAATCGACTACCATATTGTGCGCCAAGCTGGAGTTCCCTGGGTAGGGCAATCAAAGGTTGATTCTACTCAAATTCCAAGGCCCGATCCAAGTTCCTCAGTTATCATGTATGAAACCCATCATGGCAATCAGGCTAATCCTCCTCCAGTATATTATCTACCAATTCTGAAAAAGAGTGAAAAATTTACTTGATTTAATTTGCTATTTGGGTATATGTTCTGAAATTTAATCTTTGACCTAGCTCTTCCTTTTTTTTTTTTTTTTTCATTTCACCTGGTTTCTTTGCTGCTGTAACATAATTAATTTGCTTTTGTGTGAGATCCATAGTGCATTTTTTCCATTGGACATTCTGATTCCTTATTTATTTGTTTAAAGCCTTCTACAAGTGACTTCATTGCCATGGACACTGGGAACTGCAGTCCGCATTACATGAGGTGCACAATCAATCAGGTGTTGATCAAATACTTAATATACACAGGTGAATGTTGTTTTATGTGCAGCAATTTTTCTTTTAAATGATCTCATATATTGAAGATAATAAAAGAGATATGAAAGGTTCCACGTACAGCTGACCTTTAATAATAGTGTCTATTTCCCTTTAATATGGGTGACTGTTATTTGTGTGCTGTAATTAGTTTCATTGAATTCATTAATAATATTCTCATTTTTGACCTTTTGGCAACATCAGGGATGCAGCTGGCTTTGTTGGTCCAACCATTGGCCCTTCGTTGTCCATCTGAGCCTGTACAGGTAATGCATGAATATTGCCTGAGTATAACTTTTGTTCAGATTAAAATCTCAGTGATTACTGCATTTGTTTTTTAATGAAATAACAATTACCTCTACCAATGCATTTCGTCTCTTTAATACAACTTTTCTTGTTTCATAGACTGTGGACTTTGGAGAAAGTGGTCCAATTTGATGCTCTCATTGCAAGGGCTACATAAATCCTTTCATGAAGTTCACTGACTTCATCTGTAACTTATGTGGTCAGTTTAAATATTACTGTATTTCTATGTTGAAGTATTAAGTAATTTGCTACAAAATTATTTGTTGTTGGTCTATGAAATCTGTGTTGCATTTGGGTTTCATTTTTCTCTTCACCAATGCTTCCAATCTTGTTTTGGGAATGTTAACCCTGCTTTGTTCCTTAGTTACTGCTAATTTTCTCTTGGAAGCCGTTTAATTGCCACCTATGAGATGGGTGAAATAGCTTAGTTATATGCTATCAAGTATCAAGTATCAAGTATCATATATCATGATGTTTTATACTTGTCCTACGTTAGTGTTGAAATTCCTGATGTCCAGATAGTAACTACTCTCTAGGATTTCTTTGTTATTCCTTAAGTCAATGGTATTTAGTGTTTGCTGAACATATATCATGTAGCTAAAATGTTTTTCCTCAGCGAAACTTGGGTTTGGGCATTTGACTTGCCATCCATGACGTAAGTGTTAATGATGTGGGTGCAATAGCTTAGTTGTTTACCTTGAGTTTTTATAGAGGATAATGTTGTATGCTTGTCATACATTCTTGTTGCTCTGTTAATGGTTTGAATGGAAAAAAGTATATAGCAAGGTTATATCCAATAGGAACTATGTGGCTAAGGACATAAATTTTGGAGCTGGAGTTTAGGCCGCAATGTTGCAAGGTGTATCTGAGGTTGTAGAAGCTGTGAAAGTTACAATGGGACCTAAGGTATCCATTCTTTCTTATGTTTCCAGAGAAATTATATTTTGATTAGTGTAATATATTTTTGATCCATTATAGTAAGATGAGTAGAGGCTCAATATAAATTGAGAATTTTCTTGTTTTCTTCTTAGTGTTTTTCATTCCTAATTCATTGATTCAGAGCCGTAATGTGATTATTGAGAAAAGTAGAGGGGATCCAAAGGTCACAAAGGATGGTGTCAATATGGCAAAAGGCATTAAATTCAAAGACAAGGCCAAGAATGTTGGTGCAGATCTTGTAAAGCAGGTTGCGAGTGCAACTAATACAGCCGCTGGAGATGGTAATTTCTTCTTACTGTTTCTTGACTTTATTTTGGTAACCTACTAGAATTTTTCATGGATTCATATGATTCTAGATGATGAGTTGGGTTGAGTTATTTTTGGTTGGCAGATTGGAAAAGCAAAGCAACTTAAGAAAAAACATTACAAAACCTCAAGAAATCCTCAACTTTAAGTTGCTTGGGTTTTGCTTTCTTTTTTGAATTGAGTCTTTGAGTAATGTCCTGATTTTAACCTTCTTGAAGTTTATATGCACGAGTCAACTTGGAATGGCGGTCATTTCTTTGGCTTTGATGACAGTCGTACTCTAATAGATTCTACACATGCATGCCTAGAAGAAAACCAGTATTTGTACAGCTAGCCATCAACTTTAAATGTTGGAAGCACAAATTTGAGTATTGTTTTGGTCCTATCAATTTCAGTGGTTATATGATTATACTATGAAAGCCTCAGTGTGTAGACTCCAGTACGAACTAACAGCCTTCAGAGGAGACGTAATCTTTTTCAATATGGGTTCTTTCACATCACTTAAGTAGTTCTTATCGCTGGAGATTTGCTACTTATCTCTTTTGCAGGTACAACTTGTGCTACTGTCCTGACTCAGGCAATACTAACAGAAGGCTGCAAATCTGTAGCTGCTGGTGTAAATGTGATGGATTTACGTAGTGGTATTAACATGGCAGTTGGTGCAGTCATATCTGACTTAAAAGGCAAAGCGCAAATGATTAGTACCCTAGAAGAGATTACACAGGTAGTGGAATTTCTTTAAAAAAGTTATGTATAAGTTGTGTATGGTGAGAAGCATTGAGCTACGATATAATTATAAGAAGTCTTACCTAGTCTAGAGTAGTAGACATTGATGATTTTTTAGTGTCCCAAAATCTCTAACATCTTCTTGTAAATGTGGTAAATGGTTGTAGGCTGGCTATGATTCTATTATCTTGTGTTTCATTTAGATAATTATAGCAAGATGAAGTGAACATAGGAGCAAATAGAGTTTTTAGAAACTATGCTAAAGATATATCTGTTTTGATAAATTGAAAAATGTTAACTATTCATATTTGCTTCTGGGTTTCAAAACTTGAATTTCAATACCAATGCTGCTTTGTTTTGTTGTAGAAATTGGATGGTATTTCTGAATTTCAATAACATTAAACTGTGTAGCTACTTGAATATTCAACCTTTTTGGAGCTGTTATGTATTTGTTAATGCTTTCCTTTCATTTTTATGGTTGTTTAGCAAGTGTGTATATTGTTAATGGCATATAAAAATTGTGGAGAAGCTTTTATTTCTTTGTTTGTGCTACTTATTTGTTGGTCCTTCTTGTATCAACTGGTTTTGCCGCCTTTGCATCTGCTGTTAGAATTTCCTAATTAAACTTAATGCACTGATTTGATTGGTTATTATGACAACAAAAACTATTGTTATTGGATTGGTCTTCATAAACATTAATACATATTTTTTTGAGTCAACAAGTTTCTATCATACTAAGACATGGATAGCGATCTACACAAAAATGATGTAAATATAATCCAAATTATATGATTATTTAATAAGTCCTCCAAAAAATTCATGCCATCTTCACATAAATATGATCATCACAATAAAAAAATATCACACACTCTAAAGTATTTAATCGTATTATATGCTTGTGGCATAAGAGATGAACAAAGAAATAAAAGTAAATATTTCTGAGTTTGGGCTGACATTGGGCTGTCCATATATTTTTGTACTGGACCTAATTTGGGCTTCGGAAATCACCTTGAACCAAACCATTGCCAATATTCCATAGCGTACCATCACCAGTTCGCCATATTTGTACTTTCTAAAAAAAATGCAAAAGTTTAATACTTATATTGGGAAACGTTAAGAAGCAGGTTGGAATGTTCCCTGAATGAAAACAAGCTTTTGTTAATTATTTATTTATCTATTTATTGTATGAATATTAAATTCTTTTCGTTTATGTTTGAAGAAATGCGTGAGAGAACTTCACATCCTTGATCCTTTTAACTCTTTGTTTGTAGAAATGTCTACAAGTATTTATATAATATTCACGTTTGGAAATCAAGTTATTTACGTGTTTACTAATTTTGTGTTGTATAACTTGGAAACGACATTCATTATGATTCTCAGTTAGAGCAAGAATTGGAAATTGAAGTGTTTAGATAGTTGTTATAATAAAATCTGAGTGTTTTTTCTTTTTTTAATGCAATGTATTGTTGATTAAATCTCGTGTTTTAAACAGAATTCAAAGTTGATGACCATTAATGACGTAGAATGCCAAAATTTACCTACTTTTTAAAGTTTTCTCTTTAACTAAATAAATTGATAGAAAAGAATAATTCTATTAATTAATAAAAATAAAAACAGAATAATTCTTCAACTAAATAAATTCTTAGACTTCTTTATAAACGATGTTTTTCCTATTTTTTCTCTACACTCTTTAAAACTTTCTCCAATAGCCTCAGCCTCCAACGGCTCTTTCTCACCTCAGTCTCCAGCGACCCTTTTTTTAATACAATAAATTCATCAATTTTTTCTCTATTCTTTTCGTTGATTTTATTATCTTTTGATCCCAAGATCTTTCAAACTGAAGTTACTCGATTTTGAAGGGTTTTTTTTATTTTATTTTAGTTTTATTTTGGAAGGTTAAGAGTTGTTCAGTTTCATATTTAGGGTTTTGGCTTTGTTATATAATTTTTTACAGTGAATTAAAATTAGGATGTTAATGAGATGATGAATCAAGGAGGCAATACTCTAACCGTGGCTTCACTTGACCTTAATTTGGTTGAGGTAATTATTTTTCTTTTTATATTTATTTCATGTTTTTAATTTGAATGGATGAATTGTGTTGTATAAACCAGTAGAAATTTTGTTTATGTTATTGTTAAATTGATAGCTGGAATATGTTTAGTAGAATTTGTAGCTTTTATTAGGGTTTATCTGTTCAAAAATAAAATTTGTTGATCTAGCGGATAAATCAATTAAAATTAGATTATAATGCATTGTTTCTGCTATTATATGCTTTTCTTAGCTAGGTTTTGAATTGAAGTTTGTTGAGCATTTCTGGGTTATAACAAAGAAGAAGAAAAGTAGTGTGTGGTTATCTTAGCTAGAAGTAAATAGTAGTGGATGTCGATGTATTAATTTGGGTTTCAGGTTGTGATGTTCTTTAGCAAATTTGTAGCAATGTGTAGTAGGAAGGAAAAATTGTTGATTTAGTTGCTCTGATTGATTTATAATAGAATTGCAACTCACTCTATCAATATACTGAAGTTCACAGCATTGCTTTTAAATTTTCATCCCTTGTATTTTCAGTTTTTGATTCTAGTAGAGGTAAGCAATAATTATTTGGTTCAGAACTTTAGCCGAATTTAGTTTCTTCTTGGATCCAAGTTGGATATATGAAAAAGGTCGCCTATTTTACATATCTTCAGGTTTCATTTTTCCTAGTCTACTTATGTCAAGTCAAAGAGCTCTTGCTTCTGTCTCATGTCTAAGTGAACTCTGCTTATGGATGTAATGCAGTATGAAAATGTGTGTAGCTGTTTGTTTTCATCGTAAAGGGAATGGAGCATAATGGAATAAGATGAGTTGTTTACTAAATTAATCCTTGAAAACTACCTGAAACCACTATAAATAATTACATCCACTCTTCCAACCTAGTAGATTACTTGTATGGATGTTACTGCCCCTCTACCTGATAATTAGCTCCAATAAGTAAACTTATTAAATCTGATTTGCAAGTTTTACATTCTTACCAATTTACATGACGACCACACACTACCTGTTTGGTTTAAAAATATATAATATATGATTAGGCTATTATAACACACAACATTCTTGGTGTATTAATCTTTAAGTAGAAGCCTTTTCATTGAGCGTTGTAGGTGGCTTGTTAATAATTTGTACTTATTGCATCTTGTTATTAATTTAGTGTCTTTATCTTTTTATTCACAATACATACAAAGCCCTTATATATATACTCCCAGCCTGTAGGAGCATATCAAAATACGAGTGCTCCTTATCAGCCTATTTCTTCATTTCCGAATTCAGGGTCTTATCCTGGGCCTGCAAGTTATTCAGGCACTTAATACCATCTTGGTGATTATCAGAAAGCTGGAAGTTATCCAACTAGCGGTTACAATAATCAGACGAACTCATGGAATGAAGGCAGTTATGCAAATTATAATTCTCATCAATACTCAAACTACCCTGCAGAGGCAACTGGCACTTACAATTTTGGTACTACAGGCCTTCACTGCAATATCCACAACAGTACAAGCAATGGACAGATTTTGAACGCAAATCCATTTTGATTCTAGGTAAACAAGCAATTAAACGAATATCCAATCTTATTATACGTTTTTTTTTCACTTAATTTTGAAATTCTTTTGAATTTTTTTTTAAATTTGTGTAGGTGAAGCTGTTGTGAGCGTCTGAAGATGGCGAATGTTGTGGCAAACCAAGTGGTAATTTTTATTTGTGAAGTGTTAATTGCTTTGCATAGTTTGCTTTTGTTGGGATTTTAAATATGAAAATTTTATTGTATGTAGGGTGGTTCTTTTCAAAAAAATGTGTTTGATTTAAGCACATTTGTGGGGGACTTGACTTTTGACGAAGATGCAAGTGGGTAAGTTAAGAATTGTGGAAGCTTTTTGTATAATTTATGTAGAACTTTGTTCGTTGATTTGTTTAAGTTGTGATATGTGTTTTAGAGAATTTGACTATTCTCAAGTTTTCTTGAATGTTTGAGTAAAATTAGTTGGTAAAGTAACTTAAAATAAAGAAATAAATAGTGGGTGATTGTAAGTTCTTTGGGTGAGTTGATTGAGGTGCTGAAATCTTGGAAATAGCTGGAAACTTGAGAGGGTCACCTTTGGAAGCCTTTGCCGGTGACCAAGTGTCACTCTCTTTCAATCATGTAGTGATGCTGACTGAATTTAATTTGTAAACCTGGAAAAGAAATAATTTTTCTTTCCTTTTTAGAGATTATTGCTTAGAAGATTTTTAGGAAAAGTTTGTGGGATAGGTCATGGAGAGTGCTATTAACTGTAAGAGAAGAGTTGTAAACTATCTTGTCTTTTTGTTCAGACTACTAGGTATTTTATTGTGAAGATGTTGATTGCTGTTACTGTTTTTGGCAGTGATGATATATCATTGGAAGGACTTGAGAAGGAGCTTGAAGAATGTAAAAACTATGATGTGAGTGTAACTTTTGTGTTGTTTTTTTATGAAGCTATAGTCTCGTTTTTGTGGTTTTTGCATTTGTGGTTGTTATATGGGGAACTAGGGTAAGGTAAGGTAGCATTGTATTTATAACTTTGTTTGAGATAGGAACTGCTGGTTGAGGATAAAAAACAAGTGAAAGTAGCGTGGATGTTCTTGTTCTTTAATGTGTGTGACTCGTTGAGTCGACATGGTGTAAGTTTGTACAATAGGCTACATAGATTAGATCTATAGTTTCATACCGCTTGATGATTATTGTGTCGAGAACACTATTGGAAAATTGTGATATCTTGATTTATGATAGAGATAATCTCTGATGTTTGTCAAATCAAGGTTGTCTTGTTCCTCAGAGGTGAAATTTTGCCTGTAGTGTCTGAGTATTTGCAGAACAAAGTGATTCAGATGTTAGTATAAAATTAAATTGTTAAATGAGAAACACAGGAAGCGACAGATTGCACTTTCTAGTTAATTCTTTTAAGCAATTTGAGAGTATTTATCAGTAAAAAGGAATAAAATATCTTTTAGTGTCTTGTCTTCACAGATTACTGATCAGCTAGAACAAAGAGTTTAGAAGGATTTACGGAATGAGAACTTTGGATTTGTAAAAGTTGTGGCTTGCATCTATAAGAAATTCTTATCGTCATGTAAGGAGCAGATGTAAGTGTGATATATTTTTCTTTTCTATTCTTAATCTTTCATTGTTCTTTATTCTTCAAAGTTGGGAGCTTCAATAGCCTAATTGGAAAAGGCTTTTCTTGATTTCTAGGCTAGGGTTTCATATATCAATAGATTTGAGCTGACTTTTCTCTTCTATAGTTTTTGAAACTTTAGGACAGCTTGTCCTTCTTTTGTTGGTCAGCTTGTTCGTTATTTTGTTTCTTATTTTTTCCTAATACAAAATTTCTTGTTTCCTAGAAAAAAAAAATACTATCTATGATTTGCATGATACTCCTTGAATTAAAAAATTGGTGTTGTAGACACTAATTGATACAACATGACTTGTGCCTAATTGTGCCTTATATTTACATGTGTAGTTACCAAGGAATGTACTTTTACCTACTGTGGAGAAATATTTTCTTGTTTCTTCATAATGAAATGTACAATGAATTTATAGCAAAAACAAAAAAACNATACCCAGGTTACTATAGCAACTATCAGCAGCAACCTAACCATTCATACTCCTAGCCCGTAGGAGCATATCAAAATACAGGTGCTCCTTATCAGCCAATTTCTTCGTTTTTGAATTCAAGGTCTTATCCTTGTCCTGCAAGTTATTCAGGCACTTACTACCATCTTGGTGATTATCAAAAAGCTAGAAGTTATCCAAGTAGCGGTTACAATAATCAGACAAACTCGTGGAATGAAGACAGTAATGAAAATTATAATTCTCATCAATACTCAAACTACCCTACAGAGGCGTTGGCACAGTAATGAAAATTAAAATTCTCATCAATACTCAAACTACCCTACAGAGGTAATTGCCAACTTACAATTCGGGCACTACAGCTGCGCCTTCACTGCAATATCCACAACAGTACAAGCAATGGAAAGATTTTGAACAAGCAATTAAATGAATATCCAATCTTATTATACGATTTTTTTTTTCACTTAATTTTGAGGTTCTTTTGAATTTTTTTTAAATTTGTGTAGGTTGAAGCTGTTGTGCACGTCTGAAGATGGCGAATGTTGTGGCAAACCAAGTGGTAATTTTTATTTGTGAGGTGTCAATTTCTTTGCCCTTATTGAGAAATTGGATAGTTTGCTTTTGTTGGGATTTTAAATATGAAAATTTTATTGTATGTAGGGTGGTTCTTTTGGTGATGCAAATGATGCCGAGAAAAATGTGTTTGATTTAGGTGCATTTGTGTGGGACTTGACTTTTGAGGAAGATGCAAGTGGGTAAGTTAAGAATTGTGGAAGCTTTCTTTATAATTTATGTAGAACTTCGTTCATTGATTTGTTTAAGGTGTGGTCTGTGTTTCAGAGAATTTGACTATTCTCAAGTTTTCTTGAATGTTTGTGTAAAATTAGTTGGTAAAGTAACTTAAAATAAAGAAATAAATGGTGGGTGATTGTAAGTTCTCTGGGTGAGTCGATTGAGGTGCTAAAATCTTGGAAATAGCTGGAAACTTGAGAGGGTCACCTTTGGAAGCCTTTGTTGGTGACCAAAAGGGTCACTCTCTTTCCATCATGTAGTGATGCTGACTGAATTTAATTTGTAAACCTGGAAAAGAAATAAATTTTCTTTCCTTTTTAGAGATTATTGCTTAGAAGATTCTTAGGAAGAAGTTTGTGGGATAGGTCAAGGAGAGTGCTTTTAACTGTAAGAGAAGAGGTTTAAACTGTTTTGTATTTTTGTTCAGACTACTAGGTATTTTATTGTGAAGATGTTTATTGCTGTTGCTATTTTTTGCAGTCCTTGAGTTGACATGGTGTAAGTTTGTACAATAGGCTACATAGATTAGATCTATGAGTTCATAATGCTTCTTGGCTTTGGTCATGATGATTATTGTGTTGAAAACACTCTTTGGAAAATTGTGATACCTTGATGTATGATAGAGATAATCTCTGATGTTTGTTAAATCAAGGTTCTCTTGTTCCTTAGAGATGAAATTTTGCTTGTAGTGTCTGAGTATTTGCAGAACAAAGTGATTCAGATGTTAGTATAAAATTAAATTGTTAAATGAGTAACACAAGAAGCGACAGATTGCACTATCTAGTTAATTTTTTTAAGCAATTTGAGAGTACTTATCTATAAAAAGGAATAAAGTGTCTGGATTACATTTCTGATTATCTGGTAGTTTGGTTTGGAGTCTACATACTATATGATCCTCTTGTACTTGCCACGTGAAGTTTGTGCACTATCCTGTCCTTAATATTTATATTTGTTTCTGTTGCAAATTATGTATATGTAGTGTCAAGGGTATATATGTAATTGTAGTGTGTGTGTGTGTGTATAGTTGTTAGGTTGTACTGTTGAGAGATTCAAGTAAAATAGAAATTGAAACATGGTATCAGAGCGGGACAACGCGTGAACCCTTAAACCCACTTCGTTTATGTTTTCCGGGGATCGGCGATCTCTGGTGACGTCTTTGTCCATGGTTTCTCTCTCTCTGGCGTCGTCTGCCCTTAGCTTCTCTCTTTCTGGTGACGTCTGAACCTGTTTGACGTCTGCCCTTAGTTTCTCTCTCTCTTCGACGACATCTACCCTTAGTTTCTTTTTTTCCGACAACGTCTGAACCTGTTCTGTGTTCCTCTATTATCTCCGGTGATGTCTGACCTTGGTTTCTTCTTTTCCAACGACCTCTGTTATCTCCTGCAACATCTGGCCTTTGTTCCTCTCTTTTCAGCGAGTTCTGTTCTCGGTTTCTCCCTTTCCGAAAAATGTTGGTTCTGTTCCAGTTATCTTGTCCCTCTCTTCTGCTCATTCCAGCAATCTCTCCTTTAGTTTCACTCTTCTCTGTTGTTTGATGCAGGCTGCAATCTCTCCTCTGGTTTCTCTCTTCTCTGTTGTTGTTTGGTACGGTGAGCGTGGAGTTGTTGTGAATCCTTTTGTGTTTGCTTGGAGTTGTTGTGAATTCTTTTGGCTAGCCTCCTTCTGGTTGTTTGAGATTGGGACGCTGTTGTGTTTGCTTGGGTTGTTTGGTGTTGAGGTTTTGGTGTTGAGGTTATTGTGAATCTGTGGAGTTGAGAGTTATTTGCTATACATTATGGCAGAGGATGGTAAGAAGATGGTGATTGAAATTGTCACTTCCTCCACCAAAATTATTGATTGGAAGTTATTGGGAAAAATGNACGTTTCTAGAATGGCCACCATATGTGCTCATAGGGTTCTCACTATCAAGATTTGAAACACTTGATACCCTCGTCACGGTTCTACCATTCTAAGGACATATATCAATACATATTGCAATAATAATGATTTACGTGATATAGAATAAAATGCCTTTTATTATTGATTAATAAACATTATTACAAAGAGTCAATTCTACAATAATTGATTGGCTCTAAGGCATCTACTCTAACAGACACTAGCCCAATGTAGTTCTATTCAGAGCTGTCAATACGGTAGTGATTGGCTGCATCGAGGAGTGTATCAAGACTATAGTGGATCGACAAAGAATTCGTCACTCTTGGGTATGGGAGAAGTTATCTCACGACGCAATTCAATTAATGACAGTGATAACAAATCTATGATCACAGTGGGATTGAGTTGTTTCTCAATCCAATTCATTATTTTGGTCATTGGTACTGTAACTGAATACAGATATATCGAGAGTAAACTGAGATTGACACTATTTCTATACCCCAATCTCGATGAGATAACAGATGAGGAAAGGATTTGATTGCAGGGTAACCATATCGTTGACAGATAGCTATTTTGCTGAATCTGAATCTATCGGGTGGCCATGATGCCTTGCTAAGGGCCAATATTGGTCTGTATCTAGTGAGACGATTAATTAGTGTTAATTGCAATACTACTCACTGCTGGGATGATGAGGAGCCTATGAGTCACACACATAGAAGATAATTTAAGAATTAATTTGTGCAAAAGACGTTTTTGTCTTTTAGGGCAAAAGGGTATTTTGGTAATCTCACAGTGCAATTAAATTTGCTGAGGTTGTTGCCTATATTTAATTTGATGTTAAAATTAAATAAGTGAGATTATATTTAAATATATGTACATATGTATTTAAATGGATTATTATTATTATTAAATGTTAATATATTTTAATAAATATATTAATTGATTTTAATTAAAATAATATTATTAAAATAAAATATCATGATTGGGAGTGTTTGGACGTAAGGGTTGTTTGGGTTGGAGCCTAAGCCTATTCCTCATTGAAATAGGGTTTCACATGCACTATATAAGTGCATGTGTTTTGTGGTTTATGTGGTGAATTAATTTTTGTGATTATTCAATCATTGAAAGGAGGCAGCCCTCTCTCCCATTTTTTCTCTACTCTCACACCACCCTTGGTTTATTGAATCAAAGTTTTCTTTGATTCAATTTGGTTCTTGAAGCTAAAGAGGATCTAGCAAATCCCCTTTAGCTCTTCGGGTTATCTTCGTGTGGACTACCGTTGATTCGATTTTATTTTGAATTGGTAGCAAATCCCAGTTAAAGACAAGTTTGAAAGAGCCTCCAAACGTGCGTATGAACTCTAATATTTACTTTGATCGTTAATATTACTACATAATTTTGATTTAACTTATAAACTGTATAATTTGTACTCTGCTCTTGGCTTTAAAGGAATCGATCTATGCTTTAAATTTTTTTTCTCCGCTACGTTTATTAGATTGTTTCCTTACAGTGGTATCAGAGCCAGATCCTAAACCCTATACCTTGAAACCTGAACCGTAAACTGTAAACGCTGAACGCTGAACCCTAAGCCCTGAACCCTAAACCCGGAAACCCGAAACCCGAAACTCTTAAACCTAAACCATAAACCCTAAAACCCTAAAAACCCTAAACCCCTAAACCCTAAACCCTAGATGAAAAACCTTCATCAAGAATTGTACCATTCAACATCCACTTAAGAAAGGGAGAGAAAGAAGAAGGTTACACACTATGTGGGAACTTACAAGGCTCTGCATCAACTATTTTCAACTTGTGGAGATTCACTCAGATATAATTACCGAGGTTTTCTTTCCTACTTGTTTTTCTCTATATGAAACAACATTATAACCATTCAACATAATGAATAAATTAAAAAGAAGAGGAAAAGAACATAGACTTTAAATTAGAGATAAACTTAACAAATAAGAGGAGATGATGTGTCACATTAATTTGAGGAGAATAGTTTGTATAATTAGTTTGTACATGTAGAATACTCTTGATTAATTCATGCTTCCATTATAAAGTACATAAGAACCCTTTTGGGTAGGTTATATATGTAAAATATAGAGAAGTAAATTTCCCAAGGAAAAGATCTAGAAATTTATAAATATCAATAAATAGACTGCTTGGACAATTATGACTTATCTCACCCATAGATACTCCAAACAAGAAATTCATGTATTTAACAACATGCTCATAAATTTACTTTAATGATATTCCCACACATATGCAACTATTCATTTTTATATAAACTAATAATAGTAATAATAAATTATAAATCATGGGAATAAAAATATAGATAATTCAACATGTATGCTTCAAACATTATAAAAATCAATGATTTACTGTACATTCCCACTATTAAATACATTATTTCTTATCATGAGAATAATTGAAATATGAAAAATACCACATATGATTTCCTTACTTAACTCAATAAATCAATAAAATAATTTTTTTTCTTGTAAAGCGATAATTGCATAAAAAGAATTAAACAAATCCAATCAAATACTCGTAAAAAGACATAAGGATACAATCCATTAAAATCAAAGCCCATAACAACAACCAGGCCTTGGCAAAAAGAAAGTCAAAAAGTTGTACAAGCTACAAGTAACAAGCCCAGAAGGAATCCTCCACGTTCAACCCATGGCCAAGGAGAAGGGAGAGCCCGTCATTCACAACTAGACCTGGCAAAATGGGTTCGGACCCGTGGGTCGACCCAAAACCAGGGAAAATAATATAGGGTGCAAGTCTTTAGACTTCAAACCGTTTTGTATCGACCTGTACCCGGACTAGCCTATTTTGTCAGCAGGTCACACGAGTCCACCCACGGGTAGCTGTTTTTTATCCAAAAAATTAAAAAACCCCTTTCCCTTTCATTTTGCCCCAAATCGTGAAACCCAAATGAATCCCTAACTTTTTCTCAAACTCAATCTCTCATCTCATCAGCCTTCTCTCAAACGTCGTCTCTCATTAGCCTTCTCTCAAACATCGTCTCTCATTAGCCTTCTCTCAAAGACTCATCGTCATCATCCGTCTCTCATCGCCGGTGTCGTTTCTCCTGTCTCCATTGTCCACTCTCTTGGCTCAGCTTCTCCGTCTCCATAGCTAGATTTTTCTTTCGCAAAAGTGATTTTCACTTGATGAGAGTCATGAAGAATTTGTAGTTATGGCAAAATTCGAAGGAGGAAGTTTGAGTTTATGGAGAAACGTAGACAATAAATGCAGTAAAATGAACTTGAGAATCTAGGATTGACTTTGGGTTGACTAGGATATTAGGAGGAGGAAGTTTGAGTAATTGAGTTTATGGAGAAACATAGACAATAAATGCAGTAAAATAGACTTAGGAATCTGGGATTGACCTTGGGTGGAGTAGGAAATTATTTATGAATTTTTAATAGATGTTTTGTTTTAATCGGGGATATTATTTGGTGTAGTTTTATGTGGAGGTGTAATTGTAAAAAATGAAAACCGTAGAAATTATGGGGGTGTAACTACAAAAATTGAAAATTGGAGAGAGAAAAAAGGGGCACCAACGGGTCCACTCGTACCCGCATATGATGGGGTCCGGGTCTAACATTTTAAACCTGTTTAATTTTACCCGTTTGGACTCGTACTCGTGAGACCGTACCCATTAGGACTCGACCCTAACCCGACCCACCCGCCCGTTTTGCTAGGTCTATTCACAACCAACCTCCACAACTTGGTCCAGCCGAGAGTCCTAGACTGACCCAAATCAAAGAGCTGCTCCATAAAGGCCCATAAATCTTTTTGCTTCTTCATTAAGAGCCTAGGGAAACCAATAAAATAATCAGGCGACAAGAATAGTCACAACAGCTCAGCAAAGTGATGAAGAATGCAGCAACTGAAGATTTGAAACTCTCTTTTGAACTGAATCTGAAGATTGAAAATTCAAATACAATTTCGTTCAAATGTTGAATGTGAGTCCGTTTCGATTCTAGGTAAACAAGCAATTAAACGACTACTCTTATTATTCGATTTTTTTACTTAATTTTGAAGTTCTTTTGAAAAAAATTTAAAATTTGTGCAGGTAAAGCTGTCGTTGTACGCGTTTGAAGATGGCGGATGTTGTGGCAAACCAAGTGGTAATTTTTATTTGTGAAGTGTTAATTGCTTTAGCCTTAATAATTACCAAGAACAAGAATTAAGAAATGAAAATTGAATTAAAGATGATTGCAATTCAAGGAGTGCATTTAGAAGCTCATCTCCAAACCATGATCTTTTTTAGTAATACCATTTAGGCCAATTACAAGTCTTTCTAAACGTTGGTAATTAAAGTCGATGTGTGGGCCTTTATGGGTCTGATAAAAACATATGAGAATTTCGATATTTCATCTCTAACAGCCATAGACATTATGTTTAATGACGTTTGTCACATTAAACAGGTTCAATAATTATGTTATTGAGTATATAAATGGTAAAGAATTTAATTTTTATTTCAAAAGTTTAAAATTATTTTTTTATCTAGACGTGCATAAATTATCTTATTGCATGAAAAAAATTTACTAGAATAATTTATTTTTTAAAAATTTCCCAAATTATACATATTTTTCAAAAATATAATTAATAACATCCCAGGACATCCTTAATTCTATTTGTCACCAATTATTAAAAAAAAATAACCTTTAAATAGTTTTTTCTAAGTGAATAAAAATTTAAAAATTTAAAAATGATAAATTAATAATAATTATTACTGTAAATAAACATTTTCATTTTTAATTAAAAACTTAAAACATAAAATAAATAAAATAAAATAAAAGCAATTGCTTTAGTGTACCTCTAGAGGCTGTTTGTCTAGCTTATGAAAATTAGCTTGTATGCTTATAAGCTAATTTTAAGCAATTACGTGTTTGGTTAAAATACTTATAAGTAACTAATAAGTAGTTGACGTGTTTGGTAAAATATAACTTATAAGTGTATTTTATTATAAAATAACTAAAAATGATATTATATTAAACAAGGGTATACTATAAAGTTTTAAAATTAAACAAAGATAATATAGTAATATACTTGGTCAAACTAGCTTATAAACAGAGTACTTATAAGCTAAAAAAAAAACCTCTCTTTTTTTTTTTTTTTTTTTCTTTTAAGCTCAACTTATCAATTTAAAAAAGCTATAAATAAACACGTCCTCTTAATTTTAAAACTTAAAAACGATTAGACAAATACCCCTAAAATTCCTTAGAGAGAAGAAGAAGGGTTGTTGTTGAGTAACCTTCCCATTCCCTTTTAATCTTTCTGTTTCCTCGTCAACCGTCGCAATTTTCCCCATTTTCTTTCTTTATTCCTTTTGTTCTGATTTTGATCTCGTCCTCATGGCCACCACCAGAAACAAAAACATCAATGCCAAATTGGTTAGCTTTTTGTAATTTTGGCTTGTTTCATTTCTTTATTTTGGTTGATTCTCAGATGGGTCTCGGTCAATTGTTTGGCATTTTGTTTTGCGGTTTTTTAGGCGAATTTTGATGTGGGTTTGTTTTAATTTTTCAGAATTATGATCGGAATTCTGCATGTTCTGATGTGGGTTTACTTTGTATATTGGTATAGATTGTTTGTTCTTAATTTTGATGGAAAATTCTGATGTGGGCTTGCTTTGAAATTTAATTTTGATTTAGCAAAATTCATATAACAATTATGTCTATTCATTAATTGCTAATCATAGAGCTTATTTTACCATTTATCTTTTTAGTTTGTTTATGGTGATGGTGTTGTTATGAGTTTTCATGTTTAATTAAATATTTGATTAACATGATGGCTACTAATATTGAATGAGTTTTAGGGCAAGTGACATTTTGGCTTTGTTTCATTTGCAAAATAATTCATGTGGGTTTTCTCTTCACCTCAGCAACTGAAGATCTGAAACTCTCTTTTGATCTGAATCTGAAGATTGAAAATTCAAATTCAATTTCGTTCAAATGTTGAATGCGAATCCGTTGCGATTCTAGGTAAACAATCAATTAAACGACTACCCTTATTATTCGATTTTTTCACTTAATTTTGAAGTTCTTTTGAATAAAATTTAAAATTTGTGCAGGTAAAGCTGTTGTTGTGCGCGTTTGAAGATGGCGGATGTTGTGGCAAACCAAGTGGTAATTTTTATTTGTGAAGTGTTAATTGCTTTGACCTTAATGAGAATTGGGATAGTTTGCTTTTGTTGGGATTTTAAATATACAAAATTTATTGTATGTAGGGTGGTTCTTTTGGTGATGCAAACGATGCCCAGACAAATGTGTTTGATTTAGGCGCATTTGTGGGGGACTTGAATTTTGAGGAAGATGCAAGTGGGTAAGTTAAGAAATGTAGAAGCTTTTTGTATAATTTATGTAGAATTTTGTTTGTTGATTTGTTTAAGATTTGATCTGTGTTTTAGAGAATTTGACTATTCTCAAGTTTTCCTGAATGTTTGAGTAACAATTAGCTAGTAAACTAGCATAAAATAAGGAAATAAATGGTGGGTGATTGTAAGTTCTCCGGGTGAGTTGATTGAGGTGCTGAAATCTTGGAAATGGCTGGAAACTTGAGAGGGTCACCTTTGGAAGCCTTTGCCGGTGACCAAAGGGTCACTCTCTTTCAATCATGTAGTGATGCTGACTGAATTTAATTTGTAAACCTGGAAAAGAAATAAATTTTCTTTCCTTTTTAGAGATTAGAAGATTCTTAGGAAAAGTTTGTGGGATAGGTCATGGAGAGTGCTATTAACTGTAAGGGAAGAGTTGTAAACTGTCCTGTATTTTTGTTCAGACTACTAGATATTTTATTGTGAAGATGTTGATTGCTGTTGTTGTTTTTGGCAGTGATGATATATCACTAGAAGGACTTGAGAAGGAGCTCGAAGAATGTAAAAACTATGACGTGAGTAACTTCTGTGTTGTTTTTTTATGAAGCTATAATCTCATTTTTGTGGTTTTTGCATGCGTAGTTGGTATATGGGGAACTAGGGTAAGGTAGCATTGTATTTATAACTTACTGTTTGAGATAGGATCTGCTGGTCGAGGATAACAAGAAGTGAAAGTAGGGTGGGCGTTCTTGTTCTTTAATGTTTGTGACTCCTTGAGTTGACAGAGTGTAAATTTGTACGATAGGCTACATAGATTAGATCTATGAGTTTGTACTGCTTCTTGGCTTTTGTCATGATGATTATTGTGTTGAAAACGCTATTGGAACATTGTGATATCTTGATGTATGATAGAGATAATCTCTGATGTTTGTTAAATTAGGGTTGTCTTGTTCCTCAGAGGTGAAATTTTGCCTATAGTGTCTAAGTATTTGTAGAGCAAAGTGATTCAGATGTTAGTATAAAAGTAAATTGTTAAATGAGTAACACAGGAAGCGACAAATTGCACTATCTAGTTAATTCTTTTAAGCAATTTGAGAGTACTTATCAATAAAAAGGAATAAAGTGTCTGGATTACATTTCTTATTATCTGGTAGTTTGGTCCGAAGTCTGCATACGATATGATCTTCTTGTACTTGCCACATGAAGTTTGCACTATCCTGTCTTTAGTATTTTATATTTGTTTCCATAATTACTTTGCTTAACTTCATATTTTATACCTTAATGTATGAGTCTATGTGTTCATATAGGTAGTTGAAAACATATTGTCTAAAGGTACAACACTAAGGGAGTACACGAAGGGGGTTGAGAATGATCTACGCCAAGTTGAGTTGGACTCTATTCAGGTCCGTGGTTATTTTGCTTTGCTGAGATGCTTTGTATGTAATGCTGTGGTGTCAATTGATAAGATCAAGTACTTAAGTTGTTTTACACATATTTTTTTTTTTTTTTTATAAACAAAAGTAATTCAGTTATTTTATCTTGTGTTTTTATAAAAAATTGTACTGAATCAATTTATGCCTTTGTTCCTTATCTTCGATTTCTGTGTGTTGTCCTATCACTCAGTGAGGGTTATGTATAGCTGAGATGCTCTTTAATTATCTTCTTGTATCTTACTTTTATTGGTTTTTCATTTATAATTATATTGATTGATGCTAGAACTTTTTCAATGCTGCAGGATTATATCAAAGAAAGTGATAACTTGGTGTCCCTTCATGATCAAATTCGTGATTGCGATGCTATCTTGTCACAGATGGAGACTCTTCTCAGCGGTTTTCAGGTACGTTAATTCTTGCTGGGCAAGCCAGAAAAACTTGCATTCATCTGTCTCGAGATAACATCTTTTATTTGTACTGTTGAATAAAAGTATTACAGTTACACTTTTTAAGGAATGTTTAGTATTTACTAGTTGCTAGTCAATGAATAGTAAAGTTCTGAAGGTCAAGAATTATATATGAGTGATTACATTATGTGTTGTTCCCAATGTTGTGACTTGAAACTCCTGTTTGACCTTTAGTTCGTAAGTGCTGTATGGAACACTCTCATGTAGTAGTTGATGCTTATTTATGCAACTTTGCAACTGAAAAAATGATAATAAAGTTCTGCAATAGGGTCAACTATTTTCAGTAGTAGAACCTGTCATGGATTGCAAATTGTTACCAAGTTGAGGAGGAAAGGAGCAAGAGGAAATTTTCTTTGTTGAGTTCTTGATAGGAATCTGTGTAACAACGAATGCTGGATGCTAAAATACTTATTGCTGTCAGAGCGGTTGAATCATTCCATATAATAAAATTAGGTTAGGGACTTTGTAGGACACACAAAGACATATTACCAATCAGTTGCTATTTCTAAAATTGCTTGGTATAAGCTGACAGAACTACTAGCTTCATATTTGCTGCAGCTTGAAGAAAAAGGTTTAAAAAATATGGTCTTACTTTCTGTTTATATCACAAGACCCATGACTAGTGGTAAAAGTCTGTTGCAATAGCAAAAGTCACTGCTAAATGTCACATAAATGGTTCAAGTTCTGAGAGCATCTCCACTTCACACAAAAATGCTGAAAAGGACTCTTTACTAATTTAGCCCTCCCAGGATATGAATTCATTGGTATCATAAATGATACCAAAATAATGATCCTTGATACAAGCATTATTAGCATCTGAGAATCGCACATTAGAGGCTTTATTCATTTATTTGGATAAGAACATTCAGGAATATTTCAAATATTATCCTCTCTCATTCATTCTTCTTTGCTTACATCAATTTATTCAAATAGGTTTCTTGGTGTTTATTTACAGTTTGTTGCTTAGCTTTTTAGTTGTCTTGGTAATATTGTTATTATGGTTATTATTATTTCAAAGGGAGAGCCACCTCTTTACACTGTGTTTCTTTTGTTCTTTGTTTTAATTGGATCTTGTATGATCAGGAGTACTAACACTTTTATAAATTTTGTTCTAGTCTGAGATTGGTTCTATAAGTTCAGACATAAAAATACTCCAAGAGAAGTCAATGGATATGGGTCTGAAGCTGAAGAATCGCAAGGTATGGTTTCTATTGGGGAAGTTTTGTATCCCAGAAAATTCTGCTGTTATCTTAATGTCAATGGAGGCTATGATGGTTGTCAAGGAGCAACATCCAGTTCTGTTATTTTAATAAAATTAGTTTTTTCCTCAGACTTTTGTTAATCATATGTGCTCTCTCAGGAAGATGTTGCTCAAAGAATTGTTTTAGGTGGTCTAGCTAAACTTTTCAGTGGGTGTCCTGTCCAGTTTGGAAGGAATTTTTCTGTTTAGGAAGTATTAACCCTTGCCTTCTATTATATTAAAAAATTTGTACCTACCTTTTTCCCTTTTCTTGGGGTGTGTGGGATGAACATGGATGAACTCTATGCCTATGAGTATCATTTTTGAGAAAATGCTGCTCGTCAGATAGTTAATTAAGTTACAGCATCAGTAGTTCTACAAAAAGAACTTATGCTTCTGAAGTACCTTTATTAAGCAAGATAATCAATGGGAAGGGGTTTTGGGTTAATTTTGTGCTTGACGTTGATTTTTGAATTGTCCTGAGCTTTGTTTGAGCTTTTCATTCTGTTGTATAGATTTTTTTTGTGATCCTCTAAATGAATCCTAACTTTTGTGGACAATTTGTTCACTGTTCTGTTATTAATTTTCCAATCAATAGTATTCTCTTTATTTCTTTCTTCTCAAAAGAATTAAAAAATAATAATAATAATTGTATATTACATCCAAAAGGTGTTGTTTTCATATGTGGGATTAATGGAGGGACCTCTAAGTGTTTTTTTCTCTCTTACATTAAATTATTTCATGTGAATTCGTGAAAAAAAGTGTTGATATTTTATTTGGTTGTTTTGATTAGAAAGCAATTGCCGTGTGGATTATCAACATGTGGACTGACTAGGATACAGAACACTAAGTTTCAATTGCTGTTCTCATATGCACCTTATGTTTCAATTTCTTAAATGTTTGTTGCTCATTAAGGGAAATGATTTTTATGCCACTAGGTCAATACTTTTATTTATTTCTCATGCATTTCCATCTTTTGAATATATGTGGTAATTGGTTATATTCTTTGAATAGGTGGCGGAGTCGAAACTAGCAAAATTTGTTGAAGACATTATAATCCCTCCAAGGATGGTAGATATAATTGTTGAAGGAGAGGTATTTTGTTGTTTATTTGGATTCTCATTTAAACATGATGGTTTTATTATTTTATTTTACAACTGCTCATATGTTTTCTTCCTAAAGATATCATGGGTTAGTAAAGCTCTCTTTATGTGGTCGAAGTTTATGTGTGCAAGTCCTTGTCATGATTCAGTTTTTGATCTATATAGATTTTAAGATATCTTTTTCTTGGGAGGGCATGAATTGTAGTAGTTACAAAAAAATGTATTGTGTTTTACTTATCTCATCACTGGTGTGTTTGTGTGTAAAGGTGATGGAGAGTATCAATAATACTATCTGTCTTCTCACTGAAGTTCTGATGTCATCTCTTTAGAGCAGCTAGGTTGGTGAGGGTCATTATGAGTCTTGTATATTCTTGATTTGAGAGTATTTCTGCACTTTGGTGGGGCAGAAAATCTAAAAGTTTTTATAGCGATGTTAGTGCTTGCAACCCTTTGGATGATATGGATGGAAACGGATTTTGGAGGATGCTATAATAGGAGAGAATTCCTTCTTGTGGGCAGAGCTTGTCTTTTGATATCCTTATAGGTTTTTTAAATAAAGAATTTCAGGATTTTTCTTTGTTTTTCATCTTTGGAAAGTGGTGGGCTTTTGTCCAGTAATGTTGGATGCTGAATTGTGTATTGAGATTATAGAGTAGAGGCATTTTGTACCACTGTTGTTTTGTACGTCTTCTCATGGATCAATGGTTCACCTTACTTTATGTCAAAAAATATTTTACTGTATCTTAACCCAAAAATAAAAAAGTTTTACTGGTTACCATATTCGTTAGGAAAAGCTTTGCAATACTAATACTTGTTCTTAGGGTTTTCATGAAATCTATGTGTAAGTCTTATCGATTTTAGATGGGATGCAGACCTGAAATGGAAATATAACCAATTGAAGATTGTAAAAGATTGTTTTAGCTCATCTCTATTTTGAGCACTCCTTCCTTTGAGCTCTATGTTCATCCCTTATTTTTATAGATATAAAATATTTTATATACTCCTTTGGTCAGTTTAGTCTTCTTTCTTCTTTGAAGTGCCCTAGCCCCTAGAGCTTAAATCATATTTATTGAAAGATCTGGACTTCACTTGTTCCTTTTAGTTCATTTCTTAAATCGTAACCTATGATTGGTCAAATTCCATAATTTCACCTTATACATGGATACATACACATATATGTCCTCAAGTATTTCCTTGTTCACTATAAATGGTGCTTTGTTATCCTATTTAATGTGGAAGCCACTGGTTTTCCTTTCCTTCGTCATACTAACATATTTTCAGTGGAATTTTCATTTAGGTCAACGAGGAGTATATGAGAACACTTGAGATCTTAAGTAAGAAGCTGAAATTTGTTGAAGTGGATATTATGGTTAAAACTTCAAAAGCCCTTAAAGATGTTCAGCCGGAGCTTGAAAAACTGAGGCAGAAAGCAGTTTCAAAGGTAGTTAAATGGTGTTCCCAGGTGTTCACCCGAGCTTGGTTTAGAATTATGACTTCTCTTACGAAAACAATGATGATAGTTTTGAATAGGGAAGTAAATGATGTCAAATGACCATGCAGTGAACTTTTCTTCACTCCACCTTTGTTTGCTTTATCGTTTTGCAGGTTTTTGACTTCATTGTCCAGAAGCTTTATGCATTGAGAAAACCAAAAACAAACATTCAGATCCTTCAGCAGAATGTTCTTCTTAAATACAAGTAAGCTATCTATATGGCACGTATATCTTTTTAGTCCTGTGTTTGATCATTTTTCAATATCTTGTTTCAACTCCGTACCTAGAAGCATTATTGGAGTTTATCATAACTGAACGGTTTTAGTTTGTATGACATCTGATTTATGTAATATCATTAGCTACTGATTTAAGTTGGCTGCTATTAGTAGTTTGATTTTTAAAAATTTTTTAGTTTATTTTACATATTGCACCACTGTTTCATGGTTGTTTGTCCTTGATAGGTTGGTTGGTAGTGTTATTAAATTGTCAGTAAAAAAGTGTCACGATTCTTTTTAAGCTTTTAATTTTGTTCTTCTACTCTTAATTTCACTCTTTTCACCATAATTTGATGAAAAAAACTTGACAATGTAGGTATGTTATTTCTTTTCTTAAAGAACATGGCAAGGAGGTTTATAATGAGGTTCGTGCTGCTTATATCGACACAATGAACAAGGTGATTGCTTTAGAACTTATCATGCATTTGAAACACAATTTTGCCATGACTGCAACCTTTAGATTTTTACTATTTGTGTGGATTATTTGGACCATCTGCTGTTTCATATGTTAACTTTATAATTGTTCCTTGTTTTATACTTTTTCCAAAATTTTCCCTTTATCTTCTATTCTTTATTTTTTATGAATCAGGTAATTTGTATTAATTTTTTTTTCTCCTCTCTCTGGGAAAGGATTGCACCATACGGGGGAGCATTTGTTCCGAAACTTTATGAAGAATTTAATAGTAGCAATAGTAATTCTTAGCATACCTATCAATCATTTTCTTGTCTTTATGGCCATTTTCTTAGCATACCTATCAATCATTTTCTTGTCTTTATGGCCATTAAAAAATTTTAGTGAGTAACCAATTGGTCGGGAGAACTCAACCTTTCTTGCTGTTGAAGTTTAGCTTTATGTGGAAGTGTATTTTGTATCAAGCTAGCAAACTTTGAAGATAATTTAATCTCAAAACTTGACTTGGGACCTTAAAATTGTAGTGACCTAGTCCTAAATAGGTACTTCTTTTAATCTTTTTGGCACGTACCAAAACTACCACATTTTTTAATTGATTCCGCTGAAAATACAATTTCAGAATATCTTTCTTGAATACAGAGTTAGTTCATCATATATCTTCAAATTAGTGCCCAAAAACTTCAGACCTTTGGATGATGTTCTTTTAGATACTTGACACTGCTTACCACCTGTATGTTGTGCTTGTTCTTTTTGTTCTTGTTTAAAATATTAATACCTTTACCTAAGGCTTCTGGGCTCAACTTTTTGTTTGACATTTTTTCCATGGTTGCTGATTCTTAATGGCAAACTAGCGACTATGAAAGGGTATTACTTGAACCTCATTTTTTGAGTAAATAAGCCCACACTGTGCTTTGATTTGTGGTGGATTTATTAAGGACAAGCATAAGCAAGTAAAGCTGGATTCATTTTAGGTTGTGGAAAGTTTGGATGGCTATTTTGTAACTTCTTGTGTTGTTGACTTCAAAAGCTAAGAGATTTTTTTTAAAGATCATGGATCAAGTAGGTAGCTATGTTGCAGCTGGATATAGAAATATATTTGTTAGTGCAATTAATATGACTGTTGTTTTGATTTACCGTATCCAATAATATGCAACTTAAGTTTTGCTGAGATACCTATCTCTACTTTGGAAGGACAGAGTGGTGGATCTATTTTGAATTTCTGTGTTAATGGTCGTGCTGCATATATTACAGTGCTAAGATTTTATGTATCAGATCACTTCTAATGTAACTGTTATTCAGTTAATCACTTCCTGAAAGATAAGCATATGTTGTTCTACATGTATTACACCCATGTTTCTTTAATTGCTATCTGCATATGATGAGATTATGACATTTTAACAGATGAAAAGATCAGGATGATTCTTACAGATTCTAGTGTAAGAATATTCTCGCATATATTGATACTTTGCTGTTCCATTTGCAGGTTTTAAGTGCACATTTCCGTGCTTATATACAAGCGTTGGAGAAACTCCAGTTAGATATAGCAACATATAGTGATTTGATTGGTGTAGAGACTAGAAGCACTAGTCTTTTTTCAAGAGGAAGAGAACCACTGAAGAATCGTTCTGCTGTTTTTGCTCTGGGGGATAGGATCAACATTTTAAAGGTTTAATTTTATTTCACTGACTGTGAAATATTGTTTGCCCTGATATTTTGGATTATACGTTTAGTTTCTCACTGGATTGCATGGTAAATCAAATGTGTTGTGATCTTTAATCACTGATTGTTTTACCTTGGCTTCTTCTTGGGAATATTACAGAAAATATTGATGTCTGATTCTTATTCCAATTTATTGGATGGGCAATCTTTGTTAGGTTTTGTTTTGTAGCAGTCTTATTTAAATTTTTATGTTTTGATTATAATGGATCTAATTCTCCTCAATTGGGCCAATATAGAAACATAGAATGCCTGCTGAAATATATCCTTTCCTTTATTTGTTGCTCTGGTAAAGTAAATACCAAAGACAATATAGTAGTAAAGGAAATCTAAGCCTATTTTTCACTGTTAGACCTCCCATACACAAGGTCTATAAATCCAAGGGCAGGGGAAGGAATAGGAATTAGGGTACGTTGAGAGCGAGTTTGTTAAGGGGTGGTGAGGTGTACAATGAGGGTTGCTAGAGCATGGTGAGGTTGTTATGAGAATGGACACGTGGCTGTTAGTTAGTTACAGAATAGAATAATTAGTTTATAAAAGGGAGGGAGTGAGGGAGGTAGGATATCAAGGATTATATTCATAGGACTGATTGGGAGGTCCCCAGCTCCTCGAATTGTTGGGAATCCGTCTGTTATTTCACTTGTTCCTGTTTTATGATCATTCAGTACCCATTAATGCAATCTGCTATTTCCTCTATTGTGTGCATGTTCTGTGTTGTGTTGTGTGTTGCTGTGATTCACTGATTTGCAGGAGAGTTCCATCAGATTGGTATTAGAGCTAGGTTGTCAATAGGTCTCACGCTGGGGAATGGTCAAATCGAAGATGTAAAATATGGAAAAAGAGATGAAGTCAGTGTAGGAAGACATGAGTTCAGTTAAGATTGATGTGGTAGCCTTAAAGAGTACTGGACTGAGATGAGAGAATTGATGAGGTTGAGAGATGAGAGGGATGAGAAACATTACCGCGAAAAAGAGAAGTCTCAGTCAACTTCCAAGAATACAAATTTTGGGGATGGCCGAGAGCAAGGACAAGAAACAAACGGGGAAAGAGGGAAAGAGGAGAAGAAAGGTCGGAAGCTGGAACTTCCAATTTTCAGTGGAGAAGACCCCTTTGGATGGACCTTTCGTGCAGATCGTTACTTTACTATTAACAAATATGGACCATCGGAGAGGGTTGAGGCTGCGACTGTTTGCATGGAGGGTAGGGCATTGAACTGGTACCAATGGGTAGAAGGGCGAGAAACTTTCAAGTCGTGGGAAGAGTTCAAGGTTGCTCTAATTGCGAGATTCCGACCGTCGTTCCAAGGTTCTGCACATGAGGCGCTGGTGGCGCTGAAACAAAACTCCACCGTGGCTGAATACAGGGAAGATTTTGAATTCCATACGACACCGTTGAAAGATTTGGGTGAAGAGTTGTTGATGGGAGTCTTCATCAATGGGCTTAGGGAAGGCCTAACTCCCTTCAAGAGATGATTGAGCTGGCCTATCGTGTGGAAGAAAAAAATTGGGTCATGGACAAGTGTCGGCCCAAACCCTTTAAAGCTCAGGTAGGCAAAGAAAGTTACACAAGGGTATCCAGCAGCCCAGATCCAACCTGGCCCACGTGGTGGTCCAACCCAGCAAGGTTACCCAGTAGTCCAGACCCGACCCGACCCGCCCCGCCTGGTGGCCCAACTCAACAAAACCACCAGAATCCAGCCAAGTTGCTTCATCTCGCGCACCCGATAAGAGAGAGAGAGAGAGCACCGGAAACTGGAGTCGCTACTTTCCGAGGGGGTTCAGGAGGGAATTTCCGGTGATTGTCCGAAGCTGATATCTAGTACAAACAACAGAGAGGGCTCTACTTCCGATGTGACGAAAACTTCGGTCCCAACCATTGCTGTCGAAGTAAATCGTTACAAATCCTGTTGGCGTTGGAAGACAATGGCCTGAGAAAGATGAGTTTCCACCGGAAAATGACGAAAATCCCAACCCAGAAGGTAACGACTTAACTCTGTCCATGAACTCCATCATGGGTATAATGTCAGATAAAACCTTGAAGGTAAAAGGGCAATTTGGGGATACTGATGTAGTGGTTTTGGTTGACAGTGGAGTGTTACATAACTTTATTTCACAGGAGTTGATATAGAGGCTGGGTATTACGGTGGAAAAGGGGAAACGATTTGGGGTGATAGTGGGAAATGAAGTCACAGTGAAAGGGGAAGGGGTGTGCCGACAAGTTCCTCTGGATGTGCAAGGGATTCAAATTAAGCAGGATTTCTTTCCTTTTGAGTTGGGAGGAGCTGATATTGTTTTGGGCATTACGTGGTTGAGTTCCTTAGGGGATGTGTGTGCTAATTGGAATAAGTTGACCATAAGATTTGAGGTGGATGGGGTCAGAGTCAGTTTACAGGGGGATCCATCTCTGGTGAAGTCAGTTGTCTCCCTGAAATCAATGTTACGGTCCATCAACCACATCGAGGGAGGGTTCCTGGTGGAGTGTTGTTCAATTGAGGGGCTAATGACCCCAGGAGAAGATGTCAATCCGCGAATTCAAGCAGTTTTAGATCAGTATAAGCACCTTTTTGACCAGCCATCCAAACTTCCTCCACACTGTACCCATGACCATGCCATAAACCTTAAAGAAGGCGCCCCAGCCCCTAACATCAAACCCTATAGGTATCCCTATTTTCAGAAAAATGAAATTGAAAAATTGGTGGGAGAGATGTTAGCCGCCCATATTATCAAACCTAGTACCAGTCCGTTTGCCAGCCCGGTGTTGTCAGTCAAGAAAAAAGACGAAAGTTGGAGGTTCTGCGTTGATTACAGGGCTCTCAACGAAATAACAATTCCCGACAAGTTTCCAATCCCTACCATCGAGGAATTGTTGGATGAATTGGCAGGGGCAACCATCTTCTCTAAGCTGGATCTTCGTCAGGATACCATCAGATCAGAATCAAAGACGAAGACATCCCCAAAACAGCCTTCCGAACACATGAGGGGCATTATGAGTTCTTGGTTATGTCGTTCGGTTTGACCAATGCTCCTTCGACGTTTCAGTCACTGATGAACAACATTTTTAAGCCAGTCCTGCGTAAGTTTGTGTTGGGTTCTTTTGACGATATTCTGATATACAACCCCGACTTGGAATCCCACATCAGACACCCTCGGCAAACTCTTAGGATTCTGGACGACAATGAATTGGTTGGGAATTTTAAAAAATGCTTATTCGGGCAGCAAAAGCTGGAATATCTGGGGCACCTAATTTCGGCTAATAGGGTTGAGGCAGACCCCCAAAAAATTGCTGCTATGGTTTCTTGGCCCACACCCACCAATGTGAAAAGCCTTCGCGGATTCTTGGGATTAACGGGGTACTATCACAGATTTGTTAAGGGGTATGGTAGCATAGCCCAACCACTCATGAGACTACTGAAGAAAAACTGTTTTAGTTGGGATCAGGAGGCTCAGCAGGCCTTTCATGCCTTAAAGGAGGCTATGACTTCAGCTCCAGTTCTGGCAGCTCCGGATTTCAACTCTCCATTCGAGATACACAAAGATGCCTCGGGCCATAGCTTACTTAAGTAAGGCTTTCTCCCCTCAAGCTAAACAAAATTAGTCTATGAAAGGGAGTTAATGGTTGTCGTATTCGCTGTGCACAAATGGAGTCCTTACTTATTGAGTAGGAAGTTTATCATTCAAACAGATCAGAGAAGTCTCCAATTTCTCAAGGACTAGCGGATTAAGACCCCGGAACAGCAGAAATGGTTGTCCAAATTAATGGGGTTTTCGTTTGACATTCTTTATTGGCCAGGAACCACTAATAAAGTCGCCGATGCATTATCCCGACGAGATAAGGAGCCGGAATTATCTTCTCTATCGGTGATTCAGTTTGCGGAGTATAAGGACTTGGCAAATGAAGCCCACCAGGATTCCAAGCTTAGGCAGCTGATTCAAGACTTGGTTTTGGAACCCAACAGCCGACCCAACTACAAACTCCGCCATGGCTGCCTATTGTACAAGGACATGTTGGTTTTGCCTAAAGGTTCTCGGTTTGTTCAGAAGTAACTAACTGAATTTCATTCCACCCCCCCAAGAGGTCATTCCGGATTCTTTCGGACGTACAAAAGGGTTGCCAATGTGGCTTATTGGGTAGGCATGAAGAAGGATGTCCAGGACTTTGTTAAAACTTGCGCCATCTGTCAAGTTAAGAAACACTCAGCTCTGAAGCTAGCAGGGCTACTTCAGTCACTTCTTATTCCCGCTCATGCATTTGATGACTTGACAATGGACTTCATTAGAGGCCTTCCAAGGGCCAAGGGATTCGATAGCATTCTGGTCGTAGTTGATCGATTGACTAAATATGGCCACTTTCTGCTCTTGTCGTACCCTTATACCGCCAAGGAGGTGGCCTTAGTGTTCATGAAAGAGATAGTGAAGCTTCACGGTTTTCCTCAGACCATCATTTCCGGTAGGGACAAACTTTTCATGAGTCACTTTTGGCAAGAGATTTTCAGAGTATCAGGGACAGCTTTGAAATTTAGCTCCGCTTACCACCCTCAAACGGATGGCCAATCCAAAGTGGTGAATAGGTGCATACAGGCATACCTTCGTTGTTTCTGCAGCTCACAGCCCCGTCAATGGCCAAACTGGTTATCATGGGCTGAATTTTGGTACAACACGACGTATCATAAATCCACCAAGATGACCCTTTTCAAAGCCTTGTACGGTCGTGACCCTCCGACTCTCCTTAAGTTCACCGATTACCCCTCTCAGGTTGATGAAGTGAACCACCAGATCCGTGAGCGAAATGCCATCCTTTAAGACCTCAAACACAACCTGGAAGTGGCACAAGTTCACATGAAAGAACAAGCAGACCGACATTGAAGGGATATCCAGTTTTCTCCATGAATCTTTGGCTTCAGTCCTACAAATTTAAATCTCTGGCCACACGGTTGAATGAAAAACTAAGTCCCAGGTTTTATGGCCCTTTCCAAGTCTTGGAGAAAATTGGTCAGGTGGCATACAAGCTAGAACTTCCCACAGCAGCCTGTATTCACCAGTTTTTCACGTATCCCAGTTGAAGCACAGCCTGCATAGCTCAGTTCCTGTACAACCTCTGCCTTCTTGTCTCACGGATGACCTGGAACTTCAGGTTCAGCATTCGGAAGTGCTCGACGTGCGGACTCTTCTGGATGGTTCCACAGAGGTTCTCATCCGATGGCACGATCTGCCTATTTTCAATGCCACCTGGGAGTCTCTTGATGTCCTCAACAGCCAATTTCCTCAATTCCACCTTGAGGACAAGGTGGCACTTCACGGGAGGGTTATTGTTGGACCTCCTATACACAAGGTCTATAAATCCAAGGGTAGGGGAAGGAATAGGAGTTAGGGTACATTGAGAGTGAGGTTGTTATGAGAATGGACACATGGCTGTCAATTAGTTACAAAATAGAATAATTAGTTTATGAAAGGGAGGGAGTGAGGGAGGTAGGATATCAAGGATTATATTCATAGGACTGATTGGGAGGTCCCCAGCTCTTCGAATTGCTGGGAATCTGTCTGTTATTTCACTTGTTCCTGTTTTATGATCATTCAGTACCCATTAATGCAATCTGCTATTTCCTCTATTGTGTGCATGTTCTGTGCTGTGTGTTGTGTGTTGCTGTGATTCACTGATTTGCAGGAGAGTTCCATCATTCACATACTCAAAAAAATGTGGTGTCTGATAAGATAAAGAATGTGAGTTATGCTGTAAACTTGTGTTAGTTACTTTTTGCTGTGTTTTAGATTTTATTGGCATCAGGTCAGGTTATGATTTTGCAGTGTGCATGAGAATTGGAATATTGTTGAAAATAGGCTCTCCTAAGATTTTTTTTCCCCTTGCTATTTCATAGTCGTTTCTGTTTCCTACTTTTCTCAGTTTTCAATCACCTGCTCCCCCACTTTCCCCACCTTATAATTAGATACATGTATTAAACTTTTTGTTTTTTTCTTAAACTGTCCCTAAATCTATAATTTATTATATCTATGAAAGATGACAGTTTTGTAAATAGATGTGAAATGATGATATCTAGGCTATGTGCTTAAACAAAAGAATGATGGATTTCACCATTTATGAAATCTATCATTCTTTGCAGGCAAACGAGGTTCCATGTTTTGAATCTTTTTTTGGTTTCAGGAAATTGATCAACCTGCACTGATTCCACATATATCTGAAGCTAGCTCCTTAAAGTATCCTTATGAGGTCCTTTTCCGGAGCTTACACAAGCTGCTTATGGATACTGCAACTTCTGAGTACCTTTTTGCCCTGCTCCTTGATTTTGTTTTCTGGATGTAAAGTGAATGTCAAGTCTGTTGTATAGTTTATGACTCTTTTGTTCTCTAATTTGCAGGTATCTTTTCTGTGATGATTTCTTTGGGGAAGAATCTATATTTTATGAAATTTTCGCAGGTAATAAATAATAAAGTCAAGATATGCATCAGAAGAGGCCTAACCTAAGAACATGTCTAGTATGCCAAAAGAAAAAAAAAAGAAAAAATGCAGAGGAGAGAGAACAGTATATTTGACATGCAACTGATACTGACTTATTTGCCGTTGATAATCAATGATACTGATAGGATTGTTTTTTGCATTTATTAAAAAATCCAAGGGTTGGGCATAGTGGTAAAATCCCTTAATTGTAACTGAAGAGGTCAAGGATTTAAATCCCCTAGGGGCCACCTACTTGGTATATTATATCTCACTTGTTTTCTGGGTAACAAGGTTGTAGGGTTGGGAAGTAGCCTTTAGTTTAGATTTCAATGCCCATGCAGGGAAAACTTGAGGAATTTCTGGGTATAAACAAAATGCATTTAGTAAATGTACATTGTAAATGCACTTAAGAGTTTTTCCAATAATCTTGAAGTTGTAAATCATTTATTTGACTGATGGACTGAGGATAAATATCACATTTTTGAGTACGAGACATTATATAAGAATTTCTCATGTCATCTTTGATATTATCAGGTCCATTTGCAGTCATTGATGAGCACTTCAACTCAATACTGCCAAATTGTTATGATGCTATTGGGTTAATGCTTATGATTCGCATAATACACCAGCACCAGGTGATGTTACAAACTCTTGTGATTGCAGTGTTCTTGTGTTAAGAGTCTCTTAAAAAGTCCTATTTTCAAATTGTTAAAGTCTCTCAGAATATTTTTTCAGTGTCTTTTTTCAAATTTGCACTTTTAAGAGAGAGCTAGTAGAGTTGTCTTTGCAATTACAATCTGAACTTGCCTCTGATGTTCTTTTTTCTTTTTCATTTTCTGTTACAGCTCATCATGTCTCGGCGGCGGATCCCATGCTTGGATTCATATTTAGACAAGGTCTGTTATCTTTTGTACCTTGCAGGCAAAAGTTATTCCAAAATAGGCTAACTTTTTTACTGAATATGAGCAGGTCAATATTTCCCTGTGGCCTCGTTTTAAGATGGTTTTTGACTTGCATCTTGGTAGTTTGCGTAATGCAAATGTGAGGACATTGTGGGAAGATGATATTCATCCTCATTATGTAATGAGGCGTTACGCTGAATTTACAGCTTCTCTTATTCACCTCAATGTTGAATATGGAGATGGCCAGGTGAGATGCTTTTGAGAAACTGAACTCATAAACTGTTATTTTGTTTTGACTGTTTCAGTAAGAGTACTTAAATATGCAGCCTTCTGTATCTGCAGCTTGAATTGAATATGGAACGGTTGAGAATGGCTGTAGATGAATTGCTTATGAAGCTTGCAAAAATGTTTCCAAGACCAAAATTACAGATTGTGTTTCTGATAAATAACTACGACATGACAATTGCTGTACTAAAGGTGAGAACTATGATTCTTCATGCTGGCTATTACAAAATTTTCATATGCACAGGGGTGGAGATCCTGCAGGGTACTTTTTGGAGAATTTTCTTGGCTTAGGCTGTTGTACCTTTTATAAGGAGAGCAGTTGCTCCTGTTGTGCAGAACAATTATATTATTATGCCTTGTGGGGCTCTCTGTTTCTAATTAAATTGTCATTTGGATGCCAGGAAGCTAGCCCTGAAGGTGGGAAAATTCAAATGCACTTCGAGGAATTGTTGAAGAGCAACACAGCATTATTTGTGGTAAGCAATGACTAATTCAAGTTCTAGATTTTGTTTGCATGCAAAATGAAAATTTATTGTTGATAAAAAAATTTAATAATGGCAGCTAACCCTTAGCTGCAAGTTTTCTTTTCTTACTGCTTGTGTTAAAAATAAGAACATAAAGCGAAGCAAAAGGAACAGAAGCTACCTTTTTCTGTTACTAATTCTGAAGGACTGAAAGCAATCTCCTTCGAACTTCTAACTTGCAGTCTTGTTCATGAAACACACATGTTATGTTTTTCAAAATAACCCTTTTCAAAAGATAGTGTTACACCCCAAAACGGACTTATGTTTTTGGTTCATGGCTACGGCCAAGTCTCTGTCTGATTTTGACTTTAAGCTTGTAGGCGACAAGTATAATTAATAAGTAGAATAGACTGGTTGTATGAAACCTGGATTTACAGAGTTGTGAAAAACAATTGCATACCGGCTGGTTACGAACCTCTTGTTTTAGTGGCAAAAAAGTGCTAGTTATCATGTTGGATGTAATCTCATAATTTTGCATGGTGGCATAGAAGGGAAGAATAAGAAATTTTTAAGAGGATTTCTTATCTCAGTTATTTACGTTGTTAAGCTCTTTTGCCTCTCTTGAAAATTCATTCGGCAATGTGCTTTATTGTGACTTCTTTAATTTGCAGGAAGAACTGCTGCTGGAGCATTTTAGTGATTTAATCAAGTTTGTGAAGACTCGAGCCTGTAAGTTCTAACCCATTTGTTATTGTGACGTGCTAGTAATCTTTCGGAAATGATCTTGTTGGCCCATTCTCTTATCAGCGGAGGACCCAAGTTCTAGTTCAGACAAACCCATAACTGTCGCTGAAGTCGAGCCACTCGTTAAGGACTTTGCGAGCAGATGGAAAGCTGCAATCGAGCTGATGCACAAAGACGTCATCACTTCTTTCAGCAACTTCCTGTGCGGTATGGAGATCTTGAGGGCTGCATTGACCCAGCTGCTGCTTTATTACACCAGACTCTCTGACTGCATAAAGAGGATTAACGGTGGGTCTGCACTGAACAAGGATCTTGTCTCCATATCTTCAATCATGTACGAAATCAGGAAATACTCGAGGACGTTCTAATATCACCATCATCATACAGAACCAAAGCATCACCCGGAGAATAACCTGATTTTAGATCAATGAGAGAGTTCATTTGAAAGCGTCGCTGCTATATGTTGCAGCTAGTCTATGAACTGTTAGAGAGTACTGATCGAGCGAAATGATACAGAAATTATGTATATGTTAGAAAATGCAGAAATGATTTTTGAAGGTATTCAAAAAAATTGATGGGAAAATTGCAAACAGTTTTGGGTAATCTATTGCAATATACAGAAGAGTGGAGACGGGAGACTTTGAAATTTGCATTGGTAGGGAAATGAGTTGATCTTTCCCTATATGTATTATTTTTAATATTTGTTATTGAGTTTCAATTTAATGTAGTTACAGAAACAACATAGAATTGCTTTTTTTTTTTTTTAATAAATACATATCAAATTTCGATTCAATATTGATGTATTAACGTTGCCGACTTCTTGTGGAATGTAGTATCGTCCATATTATGAAAGAAGTATTATAATAATGAAAAAAAATAAAGATTTTTCTTAAAAGATTAGATTTAACCATTAAATTACATGATTTAACCTAATTGCCTTTAAATTAAAATAGCATGATTGTATCACCTATTGAGTTTAACATAATCTAGCGTTATATATTACTGGTATAACTTTTATTGTTTCATTAAGAGTATAATTGAAACGTCACTAAATAAGGGTGTTTATCTGAGTTTATAAGGTAATCAAACTAGTTTGTAAGCTCTAAAATTAAGTTAATATGTTTGTTTATAACTTTTTTAGACTTATAAGCCGAGTTTATAAGAAAAAAGATAAAATTGAGAGGAAGGTACTTATTTTTTTTTTCTTATAAGCATTTTGTTTATAAGTTACTTTGACAAAGTATATTACAATATTACCTCTTTTTTAATTTAAAATTTCATCTTATATTCTTATTTTTAATAATGTAGTATCATTTTTAGTTATTTTAATAATAAAATGTATTTATAAGTCATATTTTATCAAACGCGTCAACTATTTATCAATCATTTATAAGTACTTTAACCAAACATGTAATTGTTTGAATTATTTAATAGCTAGATTTACGATGAATGAAATTGTGAAGTTCGTAGGAAGCATTATATTGACTAATGCATCATTCTTCTATAAATAAATAAAAAACAAAAAAAAACCCGAGTCATATAACCAGTAAAGTCTAGAGGTTTATGAACTGTTTTGAATTGGTTTGTGTAACTTGCCCATGTCTTCTATGGGGGACATTTTATTAAAAGGTCATTTGAAGTTAAAATTTAATTAAAGTGCTATAAGGTTTGTAAGTATTAACTAAATAGCCTTGTTTTTTTATTAAGGTTAATTAAACATGATTAGGGGTTAATTAGGATTAATGAAGTATTATGTAATCTTTTAAAAATTATAATATGTCCCGAAAGAGCTGAAATTGTTGCAAACAAACCCAAACACCTTCTTCTTCTTCCTCCCGCCACATCAACGCATTCCTCTCCTAGTTCTTGTTTCTTGTAAGCTTCGTCTATATCATTTTCTTCCTGTACATCTTCTTCTTCTTGCCATTAACAATATCTTCTTCCTTTGCCATTAACATCTTCTTCGCCACAGATACTCCTCCTCCTGACATTTCATCAAGGTATGTTTATCTCCCCTTTCCATTTTATATTTCGATTTACAAAGATTTAATGATGGATTGAGTTTGGTTATGATTTTGATTTAGTTGTTTAGGTTTTTGGGTTGTGTTTGATGTAATGGAAGTTGAAAGGAGTGAAATTTGTTGAATATTTTCTTGAATTGTGGGTAGTTGGGGGTGGTAGCACCGATTGTAGGTAGAGATGACTGAAAATGTGTTCTGGATATGATGGATCGCTTAAGCGATCTGGTGTATCGCTTAACCAATCTGGTATGTCAGGTATAATGCAGCAGTTCGTAGATTGCTTAAGCAATCTGGTGTATCGCTTAAGCGATTTGGTATTTTTAGTATAATGCAGCAGTTGGTAGATCGCTTAAGTGATCAGGTATATGGCAGAAGATCGCTTAAGCGATTTGTTATAAGTCTGGTGTATAGCAGCAGATCGCTTAAGCGATCAGGTAAATGGCATAAGATCGCTTAAGCGATCAAGCTTATTTATACCGGATATACCGAATTGCTTTAGCGATCCAATAGACGACATACCGGATCGCTTAAGCGATATACCATATCACTCAAGCGACTCTGCAGATGCTTTTTAAAATCTTTCAACCTTTAATACATTAGTTAATAATATTTTTTTTTTCTTGCATTATAGGTACTTGGCTATTATTAGACATGGGACAAGTTGTTTTAGGTGTTGAATATTTTGGTGAGTGGGTGGAGGAAGAAAGTTGTTGGAAGTGGATTGGGAAGAGCAAAGAAGTTATATCAATTGTTGTGAGCATAGAGGTTAGTTTTGATGAGTTGATTGATGAAATAATTAGAAGAGGTGATTTGAGTTGCTCACGCAGTGATATAGTTGTGAAGTATGTTTTAAGCAGACTTCCTGAACATTATAAGGTACCTCCTGCTATATTAAAGTCGGATGAAGGTGTGAAGTTACATGTGATTGATGTGGGTGATAATGGTTCGAGGCCGATTTTAAGGGTTTCTTTTGTAGATAAATCGTTGGAAGTTGGTTCAAAGGAAGGGGATAATGAGAAAGTAGGCAGAGATTTGGTTGATTTTAATTTGAACTACGAGGACATTGATTTGTTAGTTGAAAAATCAAGAGTAGGTGGTGATTTGGGTGGTGAGGAGGACACTGTAGAAAAGGTTGGTCATGTGCGACAGAATGAAAATGTTGAGGAGGAGGACCCCGTACATGTTCCCACAGATGTAGAGATTCCTTTAAATACAGATTATGCAGAAGGTGCAGTTTATGAGGAAGAGAACACTATGGTCCTTTATGCAAGTTCATAAAAGGCAATTGCAGATAGTAGTGAATCAGTTCATGTTTTTACAGATGGATCAGAGTTGTGCATAAGGTATTTATTTGACAACAAAGAGGAAATGGTGAAGAAGCTAAAACTTGTTGCTGTGAGAGGTAATTTTGAGTTCATCACCAAAAAGTCTAATTCATCGGTTGTGATGATTGCATGTCGTGACCGAAAGTGCAAGTGGCGGGTTTATTGTAGAAGGTTGGCTGAGTTTGAAAAATTTATTCTTAACACATATACCCGTGAGCACACATGTGGTTTGGGACATATTTCAGGTGAGCATCGATAAGCCTCTGCTGATGTTATTGGACAATTTGTCAAAAGTTAGTTCGTTGAAGGGAAATGTCCATCTCCTAAAGACATTCAGAGACTTGTGCGCACAGAGTTGGGATGTGCTGTTAGTTATTGAAAATGCTGGAAAGGGAGACAACATGCACAAGATTTTGTAAGGGGCACGCCAGAGCACGAGTACACAGTATTAGAAGCGCATTGTTATATGCTTGAGTTGACAAACCAAGGTAGCACGACGACTTTGGAGTGGGACAAGAATATGATGTTTAAATATTTTTTTGTTGCTTACGGTTCTGCTATAAGGGTGTAAACATGAGAAAGGTGTTGGCTGTTGATGATTGCTTTTTTTACTGGAAAGTATGGAGGTACATTGTTGGTGGCCACTACACAGGACAGCGAGAATCACACATATCCCGTTGCATGGTGTGTGGTTGACTCTAAGAATGACAAGTCGTGGACTTGGTTTTTTGAGCAATTACGTACGATAGTGCCTGACAGTGACGAGTTGTGCATAATATCCGATAGGCACAACTCTATAAAGAAGGGGATTGCCACTATTTACCCTCAAGCACATCACAGATTCTGTATGAGGCACCTTGGTGAGAACATAAAACAAAAGTTTAAGTGTGCTAGCCTCTTTCAGACATACTACATGGCAACAAAAACTTATCGAGTTGATGAGTTCAAGGAGCACTTCTAGAAAATCCGAATCAAGGATGATAGAATTGGTAAGTATCTTGAGTATGATGTTGGTTTCGAGCGATGGAGTAGAACTTACTTTCCTGGAAGAAGGTTTGATGTCATGACCACGAACATAGCCGAGTCCATAAATTCGAAGTTGTTAATAGAAAAAGAGTTTCCAATAGTTGCCCTTTTTTATGCAATCCAGAGGACATTGTCACGGTGGTTCCATGAGCGTTGTACGGAGTCAGATAATTTTACTACAATCCTTGTTCCATCAGCTAAAAATTTATTGCGAGAACGTATAGAACTGTCAAATGCACTGTTTGCCTATCCTATTAATGCTCAAGAGTTCACCGTGCACGGCTATGGTCCTGATGCCCTAGTTAACCTTGTTAGTAAAACTTGTAGCTGTAAAGTGCTTGACATCCAACATTTACCTTGTCCTCATGCACCAGCAGCATTGAAACACCAACGAAAGCTGGATTTTGGTTCAAGAATTTACATGGAACTTTGCTCCCCTCTCTATATGGCAAATCACTACATGCTGGCTTATTCAAAAACGATATATCCAGTTCCTCTAGAAAAGCAGTGGGTAGTGCCGCCAGAGTTGGATAATATTATCATCCATTCGGCATTCAAGAAGACAAAAAAGGGGAGAAAAAGAGTTAAACGTATTCCATCAGCCTCTGAGGTTCCCCAGAGGATGAATAAGTGCTCAATTTGCAAGTAACCTGGCCACAAGAGAAACAGTTGCCAGAATCATTCACATGTAGATCCAAAAAATTAGGTTCGATGAAGGATTAAATCGAGAGAGTTGCCAAGGCCAACCGTTGAGGAGTTGTTGTTTTCAATTTTTTATGTTTTAAATTTTATTGTTACCTTGAATAAATCATCCTTTATATTTAGTATTCTTGTTACATGGCCTTGATTTGTTGATGCAATTAGGATGTCAAATTCAAGAGAAAGTATGGAATTAATATGTGTTGGTGATTTTAGTTGGTCAAAATTCAGGAGAAAATCTGGAAAAAAAAACGTATTTCCCATGATCGCTTAAGCGACATATAAGCGACTAGAATTATCGCTTAGTCGCTTATATGTCGCTTAAGCGACAAAAGGTTTTTCATAAACGATCGCTTAAGCGAGAAAATAAATTGCTTAAGCGATTGTGCATATGACAGAAGCTTATGTTGTCATGGACTTGATCGCTTAAGCAACCAAGGGTAAAAGCGAAGAATCACTTAAGCGATTACTTAAATCGCTTCAGCGATCGTACATCTGAGCAGATACTGATTCTGTCTCGGACTTAATTGATTAAGCGATCATGTATCGCTTAAGCAACCAAGGGCAAAAGCGAAGAATCGATTAAGTGAGAGAGTAAATCACTTAAGCGATCATGCAACTGGCAGATCTTGATTCTGCCTCAGACTTGATCGCTTAAGCGATCCATAATTGCGTAAGTAACCAAGGGTAAAA